TTCAAAGCCAGCCTCAGCAAAAGCAAGACTCTAAGCAACTCAGTGAGACCCTGTCTCTAAATAAAATATGAAATAGGGCTGGGGATGTGGCTCAGTGGTCAAGTGCCCCTGAGTTCAATTCCGTACCTTCCCCCAAAAAATCTTCTAATCCTAGCTTTATGACTTAAAAATAAATACATTTTAAACATGTATAAGCCCAACTTTGCCAAAAATATTTTAAAAATCCACTAACATAGCCTTTTTCTCCAGGATTACTAAGAGTTCAGAATATCAAATTATCAAAAACTAGTAAATTATTTAAAATTCTACCTAGCACCAAAGTGCAAAGAATTGAGAACAACGGTTCTAAAGCATTAAACCTGAATGTAAAAAAATAATATGCTAAAAAAATAGAACAAAAAGTAACTTTCAATCACTCTATAAATTATTTTATTTCATCCCTAGACTAATGGGAACTTTTTAAAAAAACCAAGAACCAGAATACCACCGGAAGACATCTGTTCCTCTCATCCTTTAGTGAAGTACAGATGGAGACTCCTCCGTGGTCTTGGTAAGAGGAATTGGTCATGCTCATTAGCCTGGGCAGATTTAGGTTTCTCAATAATAAGCTAAATTGAGAACTACCAAGAGACCAACTCTTGTAAAAGCTGCACTGTAGCCTGAAGAGGGACATGCCAATTTTAGATTAATTAAAAAGGTTATTAAATTGTTCAGATGGCATGTTAATGAGCAATCTGCAGGGGCTCAGTCAACAGCCACACCTCCCATCCTTAATTACAGGACCCTTACTGTAAAGAATCTGGATAAGCACACAGAGGAGCTAGAAGAGCATCCTTCTTGAATGTAATGTGAACATGGTCAACAGAGGACATCTCATGAAGAAAGATGGCAGTGACACATGCAATGTAAATTCTTTCAGAAGAAATGTAATGCTCATTGCAGCCATCTCAGAGACACTGAGATGTAAGAGTTAATTAAAGGTACAACAGATCACATGCCTTTATAATATATTCTGAACCTAAGAGGTGCAAGTGCTTTGGTATATTTTCTAAACTCCCATTTTCCCAAATACTTGGTGATAAAAATTAGAAGTTATTATTGTTTCTATTTTACAAGGTTCACCAAAATTTATAGATCAAGACATTGTAATATCCACAACCTATTTTAGCATTCATGCCAGAGAAAGACTGCACTACTGTCCAGATCAGTAATTCTCCAAGTGTGGGCCACATGGGGCTACCTAATGACCCCTTGCACGATATATAATTGTAACCCTGCTTTGGTCCTTTTGTGTGAATTGCCCATAATTCCATAGACTTTAGTTGCTATAAACACCAAGTTTATTGTCTAGTAAATTCCTAATGAAGTTGATAATGGCTACTAAAATTTGGCATTCCTAAACTAAAGCTAGGCAGCTCCTAAAATTTATTGGGGGATATAATTCAATATTCTTCTAAAAGTCTATCACACAGTGCTTAGCAGGGATGAAAAACTCCTATTGCATAAGAACACTTGCAGATTACTGAAAGCCTCACAAAATTTAGGAAGGGTGATTTGTTTTCAGTGTATCAGAAAATCTGGAGCTATTCATTATTTGAATAGCTACCATTATTTTTTTTTAAGTCAAAATTACTATTAATTTATTTTTGTTACTAAGTTTTGAGTTATTTGGTTAATCCTATGGCATTCTTCCTATATACTGAGATGCCACTGTCACCATGTTCTTTTCATTAGAAAATAGAAATAGATAGAATAAACGCATTGTGGGTTTTTGTACTAATTGGGTTCAGTAAAAAATAATGGAGAACATTAGTCTACACAAGTAATATTGCATAACAGTTGAA